ACCTTCCACTAGACCAGGTTGCTCCGAGCCCCATCCTTAAATGTTTCCAGGGATGGGGCAGCCACAGCTGCTCTGGGCCAGCTGTGCCAGGGCCTCAGCACCCTCATCATAAAAAATACCTTCTAGTCTGCATCACCCCTCTTTTAGCTTAAACCATTACCCCTTGTCCTGTCACAAGGGGCCTTGCTAAAATGTCTGTCCCCTGTCATTTTTGTGTTCTTCTTTTCAGGTACTTGACTCCCAAACATACCCTCAAAGTCTGCACTGCAAAGAGACACGCAGCTTGCAATGAAGACTGAGCAACCTATCAAGCAGGAAATGCTGGAAACATGCACCTCTCCACTTGATCCATGACTCCAGGCAGATCTCTCTGCCCTGAGAGCCCAGAATTCCCTCCAGAGAGCCTCAGCAGGTCCATTTCTGATGCTACACAGAGAGTGCAGAGACAGTGCATGTTACTGGCTTCAACACCCAGAAATCTCTCTCTCATCTAAAGGACAGTTCAAGACCCTGCTCACACTGACGGAGAGCAGATTCTGCTCCTACCTCTCTGAATAAGGACTCTCTTTTGAATTGTGCATGAACAACAGGTTTTGCAGCATTAGAAAGAAATTACGTCATGAGGAGCACTACACTCTTCTGTGAGCCAAAGGATGAGCCCTCAGGAGGTTAAAAACCAGCAGCACCCAAGTTCATACAGGCAACGTGCCACACAAGACACCTGGTCCCTTGTTTCAGAGCCTCTTGGAAAAGTCAGATTCGCTGAATTGGAATTTATTTCAAGTTCCCACCCGTTTCACAGCTGACCCAGGACAGGCTCTGAATGGGAGCACAGTGCTGTGGCCAAAATAACAGCCAGTAAAACCTGCCCTTGGCAGGAACAAAACTGCTGCCACCAGAACAATTGACTCTGCCACAGCCTCCTCCTAAGGGGTCCTCAGGAAAAGCAGGTGGCAGGAGGTCACACATCCTTGCCTGGGCAGTCTTTAAAATGCCTGCCAGAGATGCACAAGTCTCAGAAGAGGGACCAGATGCTCTCAGGCCTTTCCCATTGATTTCCTGCCCGAGTGGAGCATGGCTTCTGCTCAGGCCCCTCCTGATTCTGCAGTGTTTATGCACCCCCTGAACAAATTTTGTTTAGATTTATGGCTGGAGAACTGTAATGCAGCTGAAGTGCACTTTTACAGACTGAAAACCAGACATTTAGAAACAGATTCATTTGTATTTATTCACTCAAAACTCCTCAAATCTTGCATCTTCTGCAGTATAAAAAAAGAAATAAAAATGTTTACTTACAAATCAAAGTTATAACAAGCAGAACCATCAGTGGATAGCTACAATATAAAAATATGCAGTATTTCCAGCACTGCCGACAACTGAACATCGGAATTTTAAATATTCTTCCCCTAAAATTCCAAGTATCAAACAGATACCTCTACAAGGTTCAAGTTACTCAACAAAGAATCATCCCACAAGTTAGTCCAGTCCTTCTGTAAGGAATGTGTGAGCCAGCTGACACACAGATCACAGTGCACCAGACCTGGAACAAGTGCTGGAAAAGACCTTCTTGGCTACATCCCCTGCCAAGGTGGTGACACTGTACTAAACAAGGAAGGTAATTTCCCTGCACAAAAGAGACTGAACTCAACAGCAGGAAAAATACAGCACAATGCTTCCCAGCTGAGTACTGACATCTAAGAGGAAGAAAAACGTGTTTTAATGTATTTAGGCTTTGATTTAGATTAAATACGATTTAATGTATTTAAAAATGTAAAGAATATAACCAGTATTTAGGGTATTCTTAACTAATTTAATGGGTTTGTTTCAAAACTCACAAGATCAAGAGGGTCTCAGACAATTAATGACAGTTTGTTCCCTCCTGTCAGCTCTAAACAATGTAGTTACACACTCATTTGGGGCTGGTGGGGGGAAACCAGAACTTGCTTCTTGCATGCCCCATCCTCACATCATTTATGGAAAGCCACAAAAATAAAAGCTGACTGTTTTCTCACACTAACAAATACACATTCAAATTCCCTCCCCAAAACAGGAAGCTTCTCACACACTGATAGTTTTCTCCAATGACTTGCACCCTTGAAGCCTTCAGAGACAATCCAAAGAAAGCATTAACCATCTTGCTGCTGAATGAAAGGGTTTGGAATAGCTTCCATTCCATCCTGTGGACAGATAAGAACCACAGAAGTCCCCCTGCAAACCACGAGTCCCAGCTGACGGGTGTCTTCTGTCAGTTTGAACTGGTCATCCGGATCTGAAAAGCAGAGATCCACAGTTACAACAGGAAAATTAAGGAAAAGAAACCAAATTACACACGTGTTTTTTTCCAGGTGTCTCTGCATTGAACACATGGACTACATGGCTCAGGCAGCAGTAGTATCTGATGGTTTCAAGATATCTCTGATTTACTAATTTTCAAAGTAGCACATGCCACAGTGAGCAATAAAGAACTTTGCTTTGTACACAACAAAAAAGCAGAATGCATTTATTAAAGTATTCAAAGGCCCTTTCATTCATCCAACCAATAGCACACGTGCAAGTGATTAAAAAAAGCTCCTGGTCTCATTTCAAAAATCATTTTAGATAAACATTTGGAGATCAGTGCAAATCAGAAAAAGACCCTGACTTCAGAATGCACTAGGGACAGAGAGCACCAGTGCATTCTCAGACTGGACCCAACAGGGCTGTGGATCAAGACAGACAAACACACATTACCCAGTTCTACCACCTGTGAGATATCACTATAGTCAATAAAAATGCACTACACATCTTTTAAAAATCCCTTTTAGGAGCAAATCCAAAGCTTCAGGTGTTACCTTGTAAGCAGTCAACTTGCAGTTTCTGCTTATTCACTCATAGATCCGTAAAATTTCTGTTAAAAAACAAATCACTCAGGGAAAGGGAAGCTTTCCACAGACTGCACATTACTTACCTCGCATGTACTCAATGGTACCGTCCAGCACGAGGTTCAGAAGAGGGTCAAATCCTTTCAGGACACCACTTGCTATTGAAGACCACAGAGAAAATGATGATTAGAGACCAAAACCAGGTATAGAGCAACTCAAGACTTCATGAAAGGTAAATTCCATTCTGCAGCCCTGTTCCCTCCTTCAGTCAAGGCTACCAAGCAAAGGAGACCAGAGATACTAAAGAGTGCCCTCTATAGCAACAGTAAGTGCACAGAACCTGCTCTGTGCTGTGCCAGCTGAAACCTAGATTTTTCAATCAAGTCTTCAAAATGCTCTTCGAGACATTTTTGCTTTCAGCCCATTCCAGGGGCATTTTAAGAATACTTCTGCATAACAAATCAATACAAGTCACACGAAGGGAAAAAAAAAAAAAGCGACCCTAAAATCAAATAAATACCCTTAATGAAGGTTTATGATAAAAATTAAGCAGGAGTGTAATATTTTAAGTGCTTTTCCTCTTCCAGGTGCCCTCCCAGCACATTACCTCTTTAGCATAAGCACTGCCTCACAGGAAGGCACTGCAGACAGACCAGCACTTTGTTCTAAAGCAGATCACGATTCCACGAGACTTGTCACCAAATAAATCACAAAACTACACAGAGTGATCTTCCAGTTTTAAAAATACACTTATCAGTAAGAGGTCCGAGTAACTTCCAAACCCTTATAAGCATCAGGTCCCAGTGGGGGGGATTTAACCCAGCACAGGGTTAACTCAGACAAACAAGTGCCTGGGGGTAGCACTGACAGCTGCATTGGGATGCACTTCCCAGCTGCAGAGCAAGGGACAACAGGGATGGAAAGGCACGGTGACACATATTGAACCATAAACTCCGGGCACGTTCAGCATGTTCAGAGATGAAAGGCAAGACTGAAAGGCAGGACAGTTGTGTTGATCATTACAACCATACACGTTTCTTTGCTGCTTTAAGCGCGCCCTTGCAATGCAAAAGACCTGCCGACACAAGGCGGTTCAAGACAGCTAATGAAAGAAGGACAGCTAATAAAAGAAGAGGTGCACCGATGAGACACAAAGATAAAAGTACAGCCAGGAGATTAATGGAAAAGCGAAAGGAGAAAAGCTTCACAGCAATGAATAAAAGCACCCGCTACTCCTCGCCTTCTCGAAGGGCGAGGGAAAAGGCAAAGGAGCTCCGGGCTCACCTTCCCGCCCGCCCTGGAACTTCACCCGGATGGTCTTGTCGATGTACTTGGAGAGGTCCAAGATGCTCTCCTTCTTCTTCTTCTCCTTGTCCTACGGCAGAGAGGCACAAGGGCTCGGTTAAAGCCCTCCCGCGGTGACACAGCCCCGGAGCGCTGCTGCGGGTGCCCGCGGCGGCGGGGCGGGAGGGCAGGGCGGGGGTGCGGGTACGGCACGGCACAGCACAGCACAGTATTGCACGGTACTGCACCGCACCGTACGATATGGTACAGTACAGCACAGCACGGCACGGCACCGCACGATATGGTATGGTACGGTACGGCACGGCACGGCACGGAACGATATGGTACAGCACAGTACAGCACGGTACCGCACAGCACCGCACGGAACGAGATGGTACAGCACAGCACAGCACAGCACAGCACAGCACAGTACAGTACGGCACAGCACGGCACGGCACAGCACAGCACAGTATTGCACGGTACTGCTCCGCACCGTACGATATGGTACAGTACAGCACAGCACGGCACGGCACCGCACGATATGGTATGGTACGGTACGGCACGGCACGGCACGGCACAGCACCGTACGATATAGTACAGCACCGCACCACAGCGTACGGTACGATATGATATAGTATGGCACGGCACGGCACAGCACCGGACCCGACACCGGAGCGACACCGGAGCGACACCGGAGCGACACCGGAGCCCGGGCCGCCCCGCGCACGCCGCTCTCACCGCCATCTTCCCCGCGCCGCCGCCGCCGCCGCCGCCACCGCTCGCCATTTCATTCGGCGCCGCCAGAAGTGACGTCCCGCCCCGGCCGAGCCCGTTGGCCGCTCGGGCCGGCGGGGCGGGACGTCCGGGGCGGGCTCTGAGAACCCGGTGCGGAAGGGCCCGGCCCGGGCCAGGTCGGAACAAAGCGGTAGCGGCCCGGCATGGCGGCCCCGCTCCGCCTCTGGCTGCTCCTGCACCTCCTGCCGCAGGTCAGTGGCTGCGCCGGGCCGGGCGCTCCCCGGCCGAGGGCGGGAGCGGCTGCGGGCACAGGCGGGCCCGGGCGGGCTGTGCGGGGTGTCCGGGTGGGTGTCCGTGTCCGGCTGTGTGTCCGGCTGTGTGTCCGGGTGGGTGTCCGTGCCCGTGTCCGGCTGTGTGTCCGGCTGTGTGTCCGGGCTCGGGGCCTCCTCGGGCGGGCGGGAGCGGCCGGGGCGCCCGGAGGTGCCGCGGCCGGCGGGGCGGCCCCGCCGCGGGCCCGTGTCCGCAGGGAGACGGCGGAGCGAGCGCTGCGGGCCCTGCCCGCCGCAGTCCGCCGGTGTTTGTGGATCTGCGTCTTTGGGCTCGTCTGGGACTTTTTTCTCCTTTCCGTGGTTAACAGCGTGCTGCTCGTAGCTCTTCAAACCTCGGGTCCCCGTGGGCCCGGCCCAGCAGCCCCGGGGAGGGGAGCGCAGCCCAGCCCAGCCGCAGGGACGGAGCTGGGCTCGTCCCGGCTGACAGGCTCGCTCTGAGGAAGCACCAGTGGAGAAGAAGGGGGATTTCCACCAACCCTATAATCTATCCTGAGTCTTACATTCTCATGACTTCAACATTAATTACTTTCGTAGGATAAATTTTTAAGGGTGTGACGAGCTAGGCATGTAATCCCAATACAGGAGAGAGTGGATTTTTAGCTATTTTATTACATGGTATGTAACTTTTGTATTTTAAGTTCTAGTGTTTTGTGCTCTGAAAATGTTGAAGTGCCATTTAACGTGTCGTTTAGACTTCTTAAATCTTTATTAGGTAATTTGGAGGGTGCTGTGTCTTCTTGAGTATTATCGGTGTAACATCTTAACACAGCAGTCTGATTTTTCCCTCTTCTGTATCTGTCTGCATGCTGATGCCTTGCCAGTGATCTTTAGTTACAATGTGGTCTGGTTACCAGCTAACTTCTTTATTTCTGCATCGTCCCCTTTTTTCCTTCATCATCTTTTTCTGGTCATCCCTTTCTTATTCCTCTGTGCATTTTGTCATCTCCACTGACACTTTGTGTGGACTGGTAGTGCCAGCATAGGCCCCACAAATTAATAAAATGCAGGAATGGGTCAAAGACTGAGATGGAGTCAGTTTGATCCAGCAGTTTGGAGAAGGTGAGCACGTGGCAGTGCAGGACAGCAGGTGAGATTGTCTACTGGTGGGGACTTGGAGACCTTGCCTTCAGCTCCATGCGTTGCAGCACATTCCCTTCTGTAAGCATTTGCTGTGTTTGTGCAGTGGAAGTGTTAACATGCTTGAGCAAGCTTGGGCAGACTGGCCAGGGTGCTGAAACAGTCCTGCTGCCGCAGTGAAAAATTAATGTTCTGTGTGCTGCCAGTACGTGTCTGTTAGCCAAGCTGGCTTGTTTAAAATTTGTTTGAATACCTCATATGGTGCAGTACTTCTGCATCTCCTGTGCTTGCACTTGCTGGGATGGTTTTGGGTAGTACATCCCCCTCAGCCTGAGGCAGAGAGCAGTGCTCTGCTGCACTTGTCCTGTCGTGCTACCCCTGTGGCTCATGGTCAGGGTCATTCTGGGGACAGAGCTGGCAGCTCTCCTCATGAGCTGCTGTGTGCATTTGCTCTGTACCAGCTGTGCTCATTATCAATGGCTTACTCTTGCCTTAGTGTTGTTGGGCGTGTACCTTTTGTCTCCCTCCTTGAAACAGGATAATAGAAATTTTTGTTTGTTTGTTTGTTTTTCCATGGGGCAGGAGGAGGTGGTGCCCACATTTGCTTCTACACTCTGATTTAGGGAGAAGGAACAGCTTGGCTACTGAAGCATTACTCTCCCAAGTCTGGGTCCTCATTTGGGAACACCTGAAGAGGGGTGTGATCTTATAGATCCAAGATCTTGCTTTGGTGTTCAGGTTCTCACATTTCATTTAACTTCCCATTCCTTCATGGCATTGCTACCTCTCAGTTGTCCTGTAAAAACAGCACGTATACATGAGCCTTTCATTAGTGATGAATACAGTAACATGATCTGCAGGGAGTGTGCTGGATCTCACTGGCCTTCATTGTAGCAGCTTTCAGCAGAATATTGAACTGTGGTGATGGTTTTATTTTAAATCAGGGTACTCTATGATGTAGGTCCAGAGAGTTGAAAAGACTGCCTGAAATTCTGGATTGAGGTGGTGGTTGGCAGTTTACTCTCCTGGAATTGTTGCATTATGAATATGCAGCTCTCTCCCCTGCACAGTGTTTGTTGAAGAAGTGGGTTTTTTGTGTGCAGATTTGCTGTCTGTTGTTGCTGGTCTCCAGATGAATTGGTGCAGTTCATGGGGCAGAATGACCCCAGCTCCTGGGAACTCTGACATGGTACCTGCTCTAAGAGCAGGGGTAGCTCATTCTTTCCTTCTTGAGGGAACACAGCTCCCAGTATCTGTCAAATCTCTCTGAGATTCAGATGGCCAAGTCAGCTCATAGAGCTTCTGAAAGTGGAAAAGGTGTGTGGGGCATCCAGGTGAGTGTGGGGCCAGAGGCAGGGAGGGACAAACAAGACAGGGCCACTGGGTTGGTGGCTCAGTCACTCATATTGCAGTTCCTTGAAATACTGGTGAGCTGAATTCTTCATCTCTGCCTCCTTATATCATATAACTTGCAAGTCCCAGTGCTTGTCTCAGAGCTACATCAGTTCACCAGCATGACTGAAAAACTCACACAGCAAAAAAACTGGGGAGTGTTCTGCTCTTTTCTGCATTAAATAAACACTGGAAGGACCCGATGAGATTCAGAGCCAACAAGCATGTCCTTCTAATGCCACAAACATTAGATTAGCTTGGTTGCCTGTTAAATTTTGCCCTGAAACTTTGTTTCACTTGTGTCAAAACCTTTTCCAGTTTTGCAGCTTTATGGAAAACAGTTTGTTTTGTGTTAATTATACACTATTATGTGCTTTTTAAGCCACAGGATTAGTAAGAAGCAAGTATCATAATACACATTATTGTCACAGCAGCTGTTATTTTTCTATGTTTGAAAAAGACTGGACTTGACATCCAGACACTTGGAAAAGAGCCCTTGGGGGTTGTAGGAACATTGTATAGGATCTGCACAGGAGATGACATTTTTTCTGCTGGGTTAATCTAGGATATGAAGTGATCTCTAGGAATTAAGAATCATAAATGTTGCCAACCGTGCCACTGAATCAGCAGCATTGCTTTGAACTTTTGTTGTCTGATACCTAGTGACATGAATAAAAACAAAACTGGAAGCATCAAAGTGGATGGGAGCAAAATTGTAGTGGCTGTTGACAGACTTCAGAACTATGATTCTAAGTGATAATTGCCTTGTAAAGATGTCTGTTAATCCACTTTCTCCAAGGGACTAAATTCTTCACAGAGTTTCTAAAACTCTTCTGCTTTTAGCCCTGCTCATATTGTCTTTAATTCCTTTCATGCTTGATTTTTACTTGGCTTCTGGCACACAAACCCACATAGCTTCTAAAATGTTTTGAGCACTTCACATTAGGAACCTTTTACTCCCTTAATATTCTTTTGAAGAACATCCATTAAGTAGCTCAGAAAGCAAAATAGTGTATTACTGTCTCCAGGGTGCCATTTGGGGATTATTCCTGAGTTCCAGTAATGGTTATCTCCATGTAGCAACACACCCTGTGCTTACTCTCGTTTTAAAGATGTGTAGTTTATATCTTACAGATGTAAAACTTAACTGTACAGGTTGATTGTTCCACAAATACATAAAGCTGTTCAGTTCCAGGAGTTAGTTCCTGCAAAACTGCCTGAAGATTTTGGAGAGAGTTGTACCTGTAATATTCAAAACTGAGCTATTCCATGTTTTGTTTGCTCATCTAAGCCCAGTCAGACCCTGTACAATAGGCAGGAAACACCTTTTTGTTCTGGTCTTTGGTGTGTGTCTATTTTCATCTCTCTGGCTTGTTTCTCTTGAAAGTCAAATCCAAGATGATAAGGATGGATTACTTTTCTAAACTGCTTCCTTTTGCTGAAAGGGGTTTAGGTGCCATGATTGGATACCAGAGATATGAGTTAAAAAGTCCACCAAGGCAAGCAGTTGGACCTTTTGTTTCCTCACTCCATACACACAACAGTGTCTCCCCTTCTCCACAAATATCTTGGAAACTTGCACTGTGCTCAGGTGGTTTTGATCTGCACTGACTGATCAGTGTGACCTCCCATGCTTCAGGACAACTGTCATTGGTTCTAGAGCACTTAATAAACACTAATGTTATAAAAAAAAAAAGGGAAAAGTTGCTGCATGAGATAGCAGAGATCAATTATATACTGAAGAACTAAATATAAAACTCTCTACCTCCTGTGTATTTTTATAATGATGTTTCTTTACTACTTTGCCATCACTTCTGTGTGTGTTAAAGGGCCATTTTACAATGGGGGTGGTAAAACACTAGCACAGGTTGTCCAGAGCAGCTGTGGCTGCCCCATCCCTGGAGGTGCTCAAGTCCAGGTTGGATGGGGCTTGGAGCAACCTGAGCTTGTGGAAGGTGTCCCTGCCCAAGGCAGGGGGTTTGGACCAGGTGACCTTTAAAGGTCCCTTCCAACCCAAACCATTCCATGGTTCTTAAAAGTGTTCCAAAAAGCATCTTTTTACCCTGAGTGCTTCCTTAGGGGTACATGGTAACTTCTGTGTTGTGGGGTTTGAAATAAAGAGGGAGAAATAAGTGATGGATTCTTTTAATGGATTTTTGAACATGCTTGTTAAGACATGACTTTGCTGCTGACTTCAGTCATCTTTAGTATCTTGTTCCTCAGCTGCTACCTGGAGAAACAGATGTGTAAGTTGTATTTGTAAGAGTGTAACTACATAATTATTGATTCATCGGTGTGTTTGGCTTATGAATGTTAAACTAGATGTTGACAGATTAGTCTGTCACAACTTTCTCTCTAATTAGTAGCAGCAATGCTTAGGGATTTCTCTCCAGAACAAGGTTTCATCAGTTCTGGTAGGCACAAAGTGATTTCCTTGGGGAAAGCTGAGTCAGAGCAATAGAGCAATTAAACATGTCTTCAGTCGATGACTTCAGTTTTGTTTGAGTGTTGAACAGGAGAAAGACAAGGAAGAATGGAAAGGGAGGAGTTGGGGGTGTGGGTAGAGGAGAGTAGGACACAAAGGGGGATGGTAGAAAAAGATAGTTGGGGGGGTGGTTTGTTTGTTTTGAGGTTTTTCCAGTTTTTTTCCCTAAACTCACTGCTGGTGGTGAACTGCTGGTCTCTGCTCATCCTGTGTCCTGGGGTCACTAATGAATGGCAGTGAGTGTTCCATCAGAAACCAAGTGTGTGACTAGTTCAGGGGAGCACCAGGTCAGTTATTGTAGGTGTTTCAGAGATTTTATTTCTGTTTAAACACAAACTTCAAAGTGCTAAGTGCTAGTAAGGATTATTGAGTGTCCTCAATTAAAATGGAGACCCTTCCCTTTACAGTAGGAAACAAATACTCTTGGAACACAGAAATGATAATGGGAAGAATCCAGTTACATGGAGCAGTGTTTGGTATTCCTAAGCACTGCATTCCCAAATCATTGGGCTAAAATAGTATTTTGAGACTGCTACAATTAATATGTGGTCAGTTTTTTCCTGTCTAATAGCTCATGAGAAGTTAAAGTACAGCTATAATTTGCATTTGCTCTCTCTTTTTATAATCTATTACCAGACAACACTACTTGAACACTGAAGTAGTTCTGTAAGAGCACTGAGATGCTCTGAAGCAGCCATTGAAGATCAGCAAGACTGTCCTTCAAAAAGAAGCATTGATCTGGATTTGTATAATTGAATTACATTTTTTTAAAAAAAAACCCTCAAAAGTTAGTTTTTTGTCCTACTTTCTGAGCATTTCTTTTGTGTCTCGGTGTCTTTCTGTCTGAAACATTAAAAGCTTTTTGCAGCAGCTGGTCAGAGCTTAAATTGAATTCTTAAGGTGTTGGTTCAGACCTGAGCAGATGGTCACAGAATGCACGTGAGCAGACTTGGTACCAAGGAACTGATGTTTGGTATTTTGTATGAAGTAAAGAGCTCTTAACTTACACTTTTTCAATGAGTGGAGATGGTGCCTGACACTCCTTCCAAGACAGAGCCTGCAGTCCCAGCGTGGCTGCCCCGAGGAGCACAGAAGTGTCCCCCAGAACTCAATGGTGGCTTGGCTGATGTTAAAATGACACTCTGAATGCCTTCTTGTTCCAGCCAGGACAAGAGCCTCTTGTCAGAGGGAGAAGCATCACAAGGGACCCATTTGTCATTTAGAAATGGGCAGCAGGATTTGTTTCAGAGTCCTTAGAACAGTAAGAACAGACCTCATGACACACTTTGTGTTTCTTCAACACCTTCCGAGGGCGGGGAGGATTTACAATTATTTTGGCTCAATTAATATGAGAATGAAGTTAAAAGCAGCACATTTTGCAGTTAGATGTAGTTTGAGCACTTTGCTGAACAAGCAGAGTACATACTGTGCAGTGTATCACAACTGTGAAGATCCCTAAAATTGGTATATTTGCTCCATATTAATATGTTTACTTTTCTTCGTAGTCCTTGTTCTCTTTCTCCAAATTCCTACAGGATTATGTTCTCTTACTTCAGTTTCCAGGAGTTTTTCAGGAGGATTGTGACATTTACATGATGCAAAAGGTGGCTGACCTCCTTATAAAAGCAAGCATGACGTTCTATGGCATCAAATATCTTTGTTTAATCATCTGCCCGGTTGTGACCTCTTCCAGTCTCTTCCAATTCACTGTGGGGACAGAGTGAGAACCACAGAAGGCCTTGACACTGTGCACAGTGTTCAGCAATAACTAAAACATTAGTTTGTTATCAGCGTTGGTTTGGGCACAAATCTAAACCACTGCACCATACCAGCTGCTGTGAAGAAAATGAACTCCATTCCAGCCAGACACAGGACAGGCCTCTAATTATAAATCCTAGATATGTAATCTTCAGTACTTAGAGCATATATTGTTGGAGTTTTGACAGCAGTGACTGCTGGTCGCTGAAGCAGGAATAAATAAATGCAGTATGTAGATTTGAGAGTCTACATGTGCTACCTAGGACAGAAAAAGAGCTGCTGTTGCTGTGGGGTCTTATCACACCTACAGCAAAGGTGTCCAAGGTTGAGTTTTGGTGTGATGTGAATCTAGCGTTGATTGTTACTTTAGGCTGTACTTTCAAGAGTTGTTAAGGGCCAGGCCTCTTATTCATAGAATCATAGAATGGTTTGGCTGCTAAAGGACCTTAGACATCACCTACTCCCAGGCCCCTGACATGGGGTGGGCTAGACCAGGCTGTTCAAAGCTATATCCACCCTGGTCTTGAACACTTCCAGGAGTGGGGCAGCCACAGCTTCTCTGGGCAACCAGAGAAGGTTGGCAGGGCCTCACCACCCTCAGAGTAAAGAATTCCTTCCCAATATCCCATCTAACCTTGCCTCTGGCAGTGGGAAGCCATTCCCCCTTGTCCTGTCCCTCCAAGCCCTTGTCCAAAGTCCTTCTCCAACTGTTTTGGAGCCCCTTTAGGCCCTGGAAGGGGCTCTCAGCTCTCCCTGGAGCCTTCTCTTCTCCAGGTGAACCCCCCCAGCTCTCCCAGCCTGGCTCCAGAGCAGAGGGGCTCCAGCCCTTGGAGCATCTCCATGGACTGCTCTGGACTTGCTCCAGCAGGTCTGTGTCCTGGAAGCCCCAGAGCTGAGCACAGTACTCCAACTCTCCTGTGTGTTCCACAGTACTCCAGCTTCTTTCCCTTGCTCTGGTTATATCCATGTATGCACCAGTCTGGCTGTGTTGTTTGTGGTTGGGGTTTTTGGTTTCTTTTGTTGGGTTTTTTTTAAACACATCCACTAAGCTTTCGTTTGATTCTTTGACCAGTTGCTGTGTAGGAGGGAATCTGCCTAATGTATCTTGAAGTCTTTCTTTGAAGCATGATGGAAATGATAACAAATTCCACTGTACTCCTTGCACAGATACAGAAACTTTGTAGAATCTTTTCTTAAAGAAATAGAAAGCAGGCCAGTCAACAGCAAGTTATGTCCATCACTTCTGCTATTTTATGTGACTTAAAATTCTCATGGTGAAATTTTTGTTTTGTTTTCAGGTGTACTGCGAGTATGGGATGGTTCATGTCCTTTCAGAGAAGGGGAGCAGCAAAGGAAAAGACTACTGTATCCTCTTCAACTCTCAGTGGGCCCATTTGCCACATGATCTGGGTAAAGCTGTAAGTACCTAGCTAAGTAATGACAGAAGAATGCCCTCAGAAATGCCTTTGTTTCAAGGAAACTTGTAATTTCTTACTTGGATTAGTAGAATTTGAAGCAACTGCTTTGTTTACTCTTACTTAGAAAATATTTTTATCTGTTATCTAGGCAGTACTAAGATAGCAATATTCATTTCCAGGCAGAGGTAATGACTGTTACTGGTTCAAAACAAAAATCTTCCAACACTGTGATCAATGAAATGAAAATGATGCATAGCTGGGGTTGGAAGGGAGTTTTTGTATATCAACATGATATGAGAAGATACCCCGTGGCTTTGTTAATGTACTGAACTGTGAGCTTTAGTGCTTTCTTAGTCATAAGTCTTTCATACTTTTGTCAAGTGTAAGATTAAGCAGTCACAAACTGTGTCAAGCTTTTGCTGCATTCTCCAAATCTGTGTGAGCTGACAATTGGGTCAGTTCTTTATTCTGTGAGGAGGAGTTACTGTCACTGGGTGATGAAATCAGCAAATGCACTTTGATGAGCTACTGATAGAGGAAGATGTAGTTGACTGATACTTGGTTCATTGTATTCCTCCATTTACCAGTTGAGTGCCCCACAGAATTATTAGTGTTCCTTATTGATGTATAATCAAGTCTTAATTACTGTGATGAGTTTATTGCAACTGCAGATCAGTCCCCAGATACATCAACAGCTGCCTTTGCCTTGTGCAGACCCAGCTGATAAACTCTTGCCCTTGCCCTCACTGTGTAACGTGAAGCAGCACTTACATGACAGACTTGTATTTATGAGGGTTGGGGACTGTACTGTAAACATCTCCTTTCAATCAGTCTCATAAAAATTCACTGGAAATATCTTTCAGTAGCTCTGCAGGAGCCAATCTAGTCCAGAATAGCTTGCAGAGACACTTCCCCATACACTTGGGTTGGGTATGCTGGATCCCTTCCATATCTCCGTTTCCTTCCTCAGTTCTCTCTTGCTTTTCCCTTCCTTCACATTCTCCCTCCTTCTCCTTCCATACTCCAGCAGTACAATTCATTAACTGAGGTGGTGCAGTGCACCAGCCTGAGCTCACTCTGCATTTGTGTTCTGCTCTGATAGAGTGATAAGCTTACCTGAAACTTGGACTACCAGGAAGTGTGTGCAGAGAATTTTACTGTCTCTAAAGTTGGAGACAGCAGTTTTCTGAATAAACAGCCTGGTGCTTACCTTCCCCTCCTAAAACCAGAGAGTCTGTCACACAGGTATTTTATCAGGTACCTGTGGGTTTCTAATACAGAGTGTTCCATCTGCCAGTTTTTCAGTTTAAAACTTTACCCTGACACTTCCCAAACCTAACAGCTCACCTCCAGTGAGGACTGTGACCTGCTTCTCTTAGCACAGCTCAGGTATTGGTAGATAATTGCAGTTTTCAGATGACTTGCAAACAGAACTGGGCAAAGATGCTGGTGGTTTAGATTTTGCAAGGAGCAATTTGTGCCAGTGTTACTTCTAAAACGTTGAAGTGTCTTTGGGATGTTCCTGTTTAAACACACCAGACTGGATGTCTTTGGGTCTCAGGAGGGTTAAAACTAAGGAATTGGGGCAGGCTTGCAATATCTGTGGATCACAAGCAGTGAGAGAAGCAGCCTAGAATCCAGTATTTAAGTTCTTGGGATACAAAATCTCAGCTCACTGAATATGGTAAGTTTAAACGTGGAAGTTTATTTTTGTTGCCCGTGCATTTGTACTTTCCCCCAGCCTGTGTTTCAGTTTCTAGCTGTTCATACCCTCCCTCATCCCAGCCTGCCACTCTGCCACCCCAGCAGTGGTAACACTTTGCTTTACTCCTCCCACATCTTGGTTGCAGGCAGCAGAGCAGCAGTGGTGCTGAAGAAAACAAATGCAAGTGCAGATCATAACCCAAAGTTTATTACCAGTAGACTTCTGCACAATAAGGTGAAGCAAGGCAGGACCCAACATAATAGAGAGGGCACCACTGTTTTGTGTTTCTCTGAGAATACTCAAATCACTCCATTACTTAAAAGTTTTAAATTACCCTTTAGAAACTCTGTGGTTCCTGCTCTTCTTTTATAATTTTATGGATATATAGATGTGTTTAACTGATACATAGTGTGTTTAACTGATTTTTTTTCAGTCACTTCTGCAACTCCAGGATCAGACAGCATCTGTTTTGTGTTCTCCTTCTGATGTACCTGATGGGGGATTTAATAATCAAATCCCCATGGTGATGCGAGGAAATTGCACCTTCTATGAGAAAGTGAGGCTTGCTCAGATAAATGGAGCTCGTGGGCTGCTGATTGTTAGTAGAGAGAGACTGGTGAGTCTCTTTTTATCTTCCTATGTTGCTGATACTCCTCTGATGTTAGATATTGTCTTGTTTGGTGCACATTGCTGGTATTTAATGCTCCTCTTTAAAATAAATAATGTGTGTGTATTCTGCCTGTGTGTACATTCCATAATTATGTCTGGAAATCATACATCTGAGGGAATAATAAATGAAACAACAAGAGGCACTCACTTAAGCAGGAAGAGTCTGCACAGAGCTCATGTGATATTCAAGTCAATTTGAGTATTACTCAGTAATTACTGTTATTCCATGTGAAATACTGGAATCAGAGGAGGAGGTTGGTTTCTTGACTCTGTTGTACTACCACACTGAATCTAGTGCTTTAAATTCAGCTGGAGCATCACCAGCATGTGTTTTGTAAAATTAGTAGTTTTGAAAATGAAATTAGTAGGTTTGAGTACAATCAATCCTAGAGGCACACATCAGCTGTAAACCCATGACCCTGATGTGCAAAAGATACTGCTCGAATTTTGGTTGCTGCATTTTGCTGTTGCAGTCTTTAATGACTTCTGTTTTACTGGGAACAGTCATACATTTTGACCTTGAGTTTTTGCTGTCGTTATGTTCCTTTCTAGAACATTTTTCAAATTGGCAGAAACAGAACTTGCAAGTTTTAACCCTTTTTAAGCAGTAGAATTATTAGCAGAAATATTCTTACCTCTTCTGAACTGTCTTTCAGGTTCCTCCTGGGGGAAACAGGAGTCAGTATGAAGAGATTGATATTCCTGTGGCTCTGCTCAGCTATACTGACATGTTAGATATTGGCAAGGTAAACTTGATGCTAAATGCTCTCATTTAGATTATCTCATGCAAGAGATAATATTATCTCATGTAGGAAGCTGTACTCATGAAGATTGCATTACTGGGTTTTGAAAAAAATGAAGATCTCTTGGGAGGTTATTTCTCATCTTTGGAATAAAATCAAAATGGAGCCTGGTGCTGGAAATAAATATCACTAATAGCAGAGCCAATAGATTACTCCTAAGTGTTTATAATAAAACCTGATTCTGAGCCTGCTTAGTGAAAATTAAATAAGAGAACCTTTTGTAAGGTAGCTTTTTGGGTGTCCTTCACAACTCATGTTTACCTCCACAGAGTTTTGGCAGCTCAGTGAAAGGGGCAATGTATGCACCAAATGAGCCTGTGCTGGACTACAACATGGTGATTATCTTTGTCATGGCTGTGGGGACTGTTGCAATTGGAGGCTACTGGGCAGGAAGCAGAGATGTGAAAAAGTGAGTATCTGGAATTCAGCACGTCAGTTTTCTTGTATTTTTCATAGGAAAAAAAAAATTATGGTGGTTATGTGAAGATCACCTGGTAGGTCTGCTAGTGGGGTTTAGAGACTGTGTAAGCAGAATGGGAAAATACTGATGTGATGTTTGAAAGGCCCTGAGTCTTCTGTTGACTTGATCACTGTAGGAAATCATTACAGTATAAATTGCATGTAGAGTGTTTTTAGTATTTTGCCATGTCAAAAGGCCAAACCTTTGAAAAGCTCAAAAAAAGAAAATTATCAAGTAATAGGCTTCCTGTTGGGCTTTTGCAAAATTCCACCAGAAAAATATCTTGTTAAAAAAAAAACCCAAATATATAATGCAAACCAAATTGATTAGGTGGCTAACATATGCTATGTTTGTTATGAATCTTTTAATGGGATTTTATGGTTACTTTTTCCCAGTAAGGCTGGGGGAGGAGGTGATTGTGTCATGCTTATTTCTAACACTGACATAAACCTCACTTAAGGATTTCTTCTGAAGTCAGCCAACTGTTCTGTGGTAATTTTCAGGATTCAGTTGAGTTCTTGGTGAATGAAAATAGCACTCTGGATAAACTAATGCAGCAGTTACTGGTTTGTGCACTGTGTTATATCTGTTGTTCACACATCCACGGAAAACGTGGTGTTCCACTGACTTGAGTGGGAGTCAAAGCAGGCACTGGTGCTGTGACATGTTTTCCAACCCCACATATTTCTTACTGAAGATTCAGCACCCTTGTGTATTTTGTTGCAGAAGGAATGTACTCACTGTAGCCACTGTTTCTCTTTCAGGAGGTACATGAAGCACAAACGTGACGATGGGACAGAGAAACACGACGATGAAACGGTGGATGTGACCCCAATCATGATCTGTGTGTTTGTAGTGATGTGCTGCTCCATGCTCGTCCTGCTTTATTTCTTCTATGACCACTTAGGTACTCTTGAGGCTGTATTTGTATTGGTACATTTTCAGTATCACGAGGCTGTCATCGTTTAAAGAGCATTTTTACTGTGAAAATAATTATGAAATTTCTGTCTTTTGTCGTGTTTCTTCATCCCAATATGATTTAAAACCCTGTAAGAAAACCCACTGGGTAGATTTCTACTTTTAGTGAGGCTGGATTAGGTGATCATAGAGCTTCTTACAAACATTAAAGTCCATTAAGTAGATACAGACTTAGTATATTCCACCTTCTGTTCTTGTGTTCTCAAACCTATTCTTGTCTCTCCGCTATTGTTCAATTTGAAGTCAAGTTATGGGATCCAGGATCAATTTTTTTTTATCTTTATAAAGTTGATAAATTTCTATTGATCATTTATCAAATTGTTTGACAAAAAACCATGAGAGCCTAATGCACTGGAACTGCCATCCCCATATTTCTGAGGAAGTAGTGGGACGTGCATCCCATCTGAATTAATTAATTTTGCTACTGAGTGATTTTAAGAGTTCCCTTATAGTGCTCCTGTATAAAGAAAAGATAAACACTTCACCATAGGTTGCCTTTTAGGCTTATGACTTACTTTAAGAATATTAGCACAGAGGTTTTGATTTGTTGAAGTAGGTATTGCATAAAGTACAGCTGAGTGAAAGGAGCTAGAATTAGACAGTCAAAGAGCATAAATCTAATCAAGAATTTACCTTTCACTGCTTAAATGTTAGCCTTATTTCTCATTTAGGCTTATTGACTGTTCTTTATTCAGCCAGGATATGAAAAAAAAGAATCTCTTGCATCATCCAACTTGGACTGAGTACTTTTTTTTTCTCAGTCTATGTTATTATAGGGATATTCTGCCTGGCTGCCTCAATTGGTCTCTACAGTTGTCTGTCTCCCTTTGTAAGAAGATTCCCCTTGGGAAAGTGCAGGTATGTGGCAACTCCTAAATTTTTAACAGGTAAACTTTAACAAGTAAACGAAATACTGTTTGGTAGGTGTGGGATTTACAAGGTGGCTTCATATTTCAAAATGTTTATAAAGAAAGAGACACAGACAACTGTAGCTTTTGTGTGCTTTGTTTTCAGAATCCCAGACAACAACTTGCCTTATTTTCACAAGCGTCCCCAGGTCCGGATGCTGCTCTTGGCAGTATTTTGTATCTCTGTCAGCGTGGTCTGGGGAGTCTTCAGAAATGAGGATCAGTAAGTGTACATTTTGTTTTCTGTGCTAAAAATTGTAATATGCTTTACAGTATAAGTAACTGACATCTACACAAGCCTAAATGCATCCGGAATTTAGGAGTGACAGGTAGAAATTCTTAGTTGTCCCTCATGTACTTCACCTTTTTCTTGTTGGCTTAATTACAGAAAACTGCCTCTTGTTAAGTTTAATTTCTCTGAGTCCCAGTCAGTATTCTGAGCTCTTTGACTTCAGACAGCTTCTCAGAAGGGGAATGGAAAGTTGGACACAAGTTGTCTAACTTATTTCTTCATGAGAATAAGAGCTGGGAAGATTGTGAGATCTGCAGTTTCTTTCAGCTGTCTGGTGTTAGTCAGTAATTCTCTACATCCAGTGTTGCTGCTGTACCTAACTGTACCATGTGCTTAGCAGTTTTGTTAGAGGTGGATATTTTATGGTGTGTTGTGGTTTGGTTTTGGTTTGGGGTTTTTTACCTCTTGCCTCACTCCCAGATGCTCCAGTCTCCCCATATATACAGGATGTGTTCATCTTGGTCCCTCTGTCAGGGATTCAGCATTGGAAGTGAAACACCAGCTTGTGTTTCTGCTGGTGATACCAAAGATGTCTGGCTTGTGCCTTGAATGCCATTTACTGCATTTGTGCAGTCCATGTTCTGTGTGCATCATTCAGTGACAGAGCTCAAATCCAAGAAGCATCAACCCTGAAACACCTTTTAGAGAGATAAGTGTCAGGCTGAGGAGCACAGAAGTGCTATAGAGATATCTCAAGCTGTGATATTTAGGATTAGGAAATCCCATTTTCTGCCTCAAAGCTGGAGTGGGCCTGAGCATCTCCTCCATCAGCAAGTGCACAGGGATTGATCACAACAGAATAATCTCTCATCTGCACCTAGACCCTAGCCATTTTAGGGGAAAGGGTTACCTCAGATCCTGCTTCTCTTTGACCCTAACAGTGGAGAGTAAAGCAAAGAGCACTTCTGTGCTGCAAAGGAGAGTCGAAAACCAGCCCCAACTGTAGATTTGCCTCAGCACACAAGAGTTCTGAGGGCCCAGCACCTCCTGTTTTGGTATCCAGTGACCTCATTAGGCCAGTTTTCAATCCACCTCACTGCTCATTCAGCTCATACTTCATCAGTCTCTCCACGAGGATCTTATGGAAGATTCTCAGTGGAAAGCTTTATTGAGGTCTACCTTGACAGTGTCCCACCCACCTTCCCTCCTCTCCCAGTCACTTCTGTGTGGAAGGTTCTCAGGTTGATCAAGCACAACTTCCCATTTGCAAATCCACGCCCATAACAACGTTGATTTCAAGCAAGCACTTTGAATAAAGTTCTTTTTTTGTCCCAAGCAGGTCCTTAGTGAGGGCAAGGCTTGGTCTGCCTTTCCTGCTGTTTCCCACAAAAATGTTTCTCTCCTCTTTTTAAGGTGGGCCTGGGTTCTGCAAGATGCTTTAGGAATTGCTTTCTGTCTTTACATGTTGAAAACAATTCGCCTGCCTACGTTTAAGGTATGAAAGTTAAACAGATGTAAAGAGAGGATATTTGCATGTATGTAGTTGAACAGAGCAGTCACTTATAATGGTGTACATTGGCTTGGAAATGCACTTAACATTCATATGCAGCTGGGAAAAGAGGGATGTAATGAATATGATGTAGACCAATAATTGGCATGGGATTGTTCTGTAGAGTAAATCACACACCACCCACTCATTTGTGGATTTTGTTTTGATGAGGGGGGTTGGTTTGTTTGTTTTTATTGGTTTGGTTTTGTTTGTTTTCAAATTGACACACAATTAATGCATCATTCTGCTGGGGTTTTTTTTCAAATCTTTCTGAACTTAGTATCCTCAGACAAAAATCAGTATTAGTCGTTTAGTTGCCCCTTAAGCAGCTCTTCAAACTCTGCTCCAAGGTATCTTCACCTATAAATTTGTATAAACTGGCAGCATTAGGTGGAGAGTGTTTCAAGCTGTGCCTGGCACCCTCCAGTGTAGAACTTCTTCATATTTCCTGACAAACTGAAAAGGCATCATTTGCAGATTTTACATGATAAAGAATTTTAGGGACTAAAATGTAATTTTGTGTCCAAGAATTACTTGTTTTTATATGGTGCATGCGAGACCCAATTCCTCCATCTAAAAGATTCAGGAATTATGAAAAATATATGGGTGACTTGTTTTACTCTTTGTCAGCTTTTTCCTCGAGCAGTCTGCTAATTATTAATTCTTTGCTGTTTATTAGTGCATAGTGTGTAAATACCAAGTATCTTGTCTCTTCCTTCAGGGCTGTACCTTGCTCCTGCTGGTTCTTTTTGTGTATGATGTATTCTTTGTGTTTATCACACCTTTTTTAACAAAGGTAAGTAAAATCCTTCTGTGCTGGCTGCTGCCCACAGAGCAGAGCGTAACGACCTGTTTCTCTGTGCGTTCCCTACGTGATCCCAGAGCTGCTGAGTGAAAAGCTGATTTACAATTTTCCCCTTTTTCATTTAGACTGGGGAGAGTATAATGGTGGAGGTGGCTGCAGGCCCGTCGGATTCTGCCACTCATGAGAAGGTACTGCATGTAGCCTGAAAATCTAAAAGCCTAAGTCTGAAAACTAACTTCCAACTATTACACTTCTAACTTTCCTAAAATTTGAAAACCAGAAAGCTGAAATGGAGATGCCAGTCTGAAAAGAACTTAGGGGGAATAATATTCTGGGGGGGGCAAGGCAGACTTGTAGTGGTTCATCACACCAGCTTTGGTTTTCCTTTGTCTTTCTTTAAAAGGCTTTCAGTCTAAGGAAGCTGGTTAGCTCAGCTTCACAAAAACCTGGCCACAGAATGAATTGCATAAAACAGTAATGAAAGTACAAGCAGATAGGATTATTTTGATACTAATGTAAGAAATGAAAAAATAACATAAAGGTTTCTTTAATGTGCTGTAACAAAGAGAATTGCAATGGACCTTGGCATACTATGCCTCAGCATTGCAAATTGTGTAATAAAGAGGAATAAATTGTGTAATAAATAACTGGGGGGCAAGGGAAAAGTCTTTAAAGTGATTTGAAAAGTGTGCTTCTTAAAATTATTCATGTCTTTGCTCTTGTGAGACTTTTATTGCAAGCAGATGAATAACTGTATAAATGGTTATTTCTTATGCTTGTAGCAGCTTACCTAAATTTTTTTCATTCCTGCAGTTAAAGCAGAGTTGATACCCTACTGCATGTGAGGATTTTGAAATTAATATAGTGTATTTCATCACTCCTATCTTATGCATTTTGTTAGATGTCAGTAATATTGTATGTGATATGAATGTAAAAAAAGATACATTTGCTGTATTTGAAGCCTGCAGTTTGAGTACAACAGGAACAAGTTCTGGAAGTTGGTGCCACTGTATAGAGAAAATGGCTTTTTATCAGACATGTGTCTCTCTCATTCTAAGCTCCCAATGGTCCTGAAGGTTCCACGACTGAATTCCTCACCACTGGCTCTGTGTGACAGGCCTTTTTCTCTGCTAGGATTTGGAGACATTTTAGTTCCAGGTATTGTTTAGCAGGTTAAGAATTTTACTTGTTACCCTGTCATATTAGTTTATTCCTCTTGTCTTTCTGATTCAAGTGGAAAGTTTGATTTGACTATTATAAACCTGATAAATTTGTGAGTAGAGCTCCCTTTTTTTTCTGCACTATTCACCTTCTCAATAAGAAATTAAATTAATTTTATGGTTCACTTTCAAGTGCAGTGATGTCAACAAATATAGAGAAGTTGCAAGAGTTGATTTAGCAACTGATTTTATGCTATAAAACATCTTTAACAGTCTGGTGATAAAGGAAATTATTTGTCCATTTGCACATTGTTTGAGTACACACATCTGACCACTCAAACCTTCCTAATTTTGTTAGTGATACTACATTCAGTGTTTCTACCCCACCTTCTCTGAAATTTGATTTTAGATAGTATGTAGAAGAACACCTGGCATCACTGCAGGTGAAAACAAGTATACACCTTCTGGCTTTCAGATTCCTTCTGGGAAATCAACTGTTGATTTTCTTGTATTTTGGGAAATATAATGAACAAAATCTTGTTGGGAACACTGTATTTTTACAGCTGTTTAGTAAGGATCAGATGATGTTTTTTATCTATGAGCTATGTATTTGAAGCTATTGGAGTGCTTTTGTTGGACTGGACTGGACTTGTGCTGTCATATAACTGGTTTGTAAGTTGTGCTGTCATGGTGTTTAAACACAGGGTTCCAAGGAAGTGTTGGGGGAAAAAATTCTTAAAAGGTCCTAGCTGGTTTGATGATTTTGCATATCTTAGTGTGTGACTATAGGCTGAAAGCATGTTTAACTGTTCTTTCCTTTCCTAGGCTTACTGGTAGCCTATTGCCATAGATTTGATATTCAGGTGCAGTCATCCAGAGTCTATTTTGTAGCCTGCACAATAGGTATGTACCACAGTGACACCTGAATGCAAGACCTACAGGAGTTGCTCCCTCTTGAAAGCATGTCCTCAATCTTGCATGGCATGGTTTTACCCTTCTCCTTTTATTATTAACCAGAAATATTTTAGCAAAGTGCTTTCAAGGCTGGATCTTCCAGCACAAAACCAGCTGGTGTGGCTTTCCTGAGCTGTTCTGTCTGCCATGTGTAAGGGGAGGTTCTTGCTCCAAAGAGTCTCACTAGAACCCTTGCAGCTCCACTGTCTTTACATGTGCTCACCTCTGCTCATTCTGGTTTCTTGATTCATGAATCTTTTGAGTTTATGGTGCGTGAGAATTTGGTTTCAGGGACATCGTCCTTTGACTTTGTTCCTAATTTTTTGTGTATTCTGAAGACCCATGAGCTGTGATGCAGGGAATTGTGTTGTATTATGATGACTATAACACATCTGCATTAGTTTTCTTCCTTAGTTTGTAGAATCCACAGAGTTAAATGCCATGGGTGTAAATACACCTGGTGAATAGGATCTGACAGGTTCCTCTTGGCTTTCTTACAACATGCTTTTGCCAGGAAAGACTTCTAATGCTTGCAATTAATGTAGTGAAAAATTTTCATGACCAACTGCTGTAGAAATTCGTTTGAAAAAATACCTAGGTCGTGGAGACTCCTAGCAGGGTTAGAGAGATGTTTTTATTTCAATGGTCCAAGTCATTTCCTCTCATACATACTTAAACTGTTGTCTTACCTGGTATTTTCAAAATTATATCATTTGCAGAAAACAATAGAAAATGTTGTACTGATAAAGAGTCAGCAGTGTGGTATTGCAGCACTGAAAAGGGCTCAGTTAGCAAGGTGGAGTCATCAGTTATGAGAGAAATGATTATTCCTCTCAATTTGTCATTTAAGACTGAATCTTAACCAGGATCCCTGGTGCCAGACAGTCATTGACATACTGGAGTAAATCCAGTGGAGACCTTCAAGATGGCAGAGGGCTGGAGCACATGGTTGTAAAAGAAGAGAAGGCAAAAAAAAAGAAAAGAAGAGATTCTGTTGCTGTCCCACAACTGCCTAATAGGAGGCTGCAGAGAGGACAGAGAGACTTTTCTTACAGGTGTGCAGATAAGATGTGAGGCAATGGACTTAAGTCACAATAAAAATTATTTTAACTAGATATAAGGAACTCTCAATAGTAACAGAATGTGCTCTGAAAAAAAAAAAACATTTTCAAGAACTGTAAAGAGTTATTGAGTATTCTAATCACAGAACCATTTAGGTTGGAAAAGCTCTCTAAGATCATCGAGTCCAGCTGTTAACCCAGCACTGCCAGGGCCACCACTAACCATGTCCCCAAGTGCCACATCTACACAACTTTTCAATCCCTGCAGGGATAGTGACTCCACCACTGCCCTGGCCAGCCTGTGCCAGCGCTGCACAACCCTCTGGGGGAGGAAATTCTGGCCAATATCCAACCTAAACCTCCCCTGGCACAGCTTGAGGCCGTTTCCTCTCATCCTTTCACTTGGTCCCTGGGAGCAGAGCCTGACCCCCACCTGGTTCCTCCCTCCTGTCAGGGAGTTGCAGAGCAAGAAGGTCCCTCCTGAGCCTCCTTTTCCCCAGGCTGAGCCTCTCCAGCTCCCTCAGCTTCTCCTCATCAGATTTATGCTCCAGACCCATCCCCAGCTCCGTTGCCCTTCCCTGGACAGGCTCCAGCCCCTCAATGTCTTTCTTCACCTGTTTTCTTGAATAAAAATCAGTTGGATTAACTTCATTGTTTGGAAAATGTAATTGAAAATAATTACAATATGAGATCCATGCTGCTCGTGTTCTACTAAATAAATTTTGCCACATTTATGCAGAAATTAAATAGAAAGTAATAACAAATTATTACATACAGCTTGCTGGGGTTTTTTTATTTTAGCAGTGTGGCAGGATAGTAAAGCCAACCCAAAAGAGAAGCACATAATCATGGTCAAAATATTTGTCTATATCTGCTGAATTCATAAATACAGTATGAGGTGCAATACTTCATTTGTTTATTTTTGCTTAAGGTAATGCTTTAACTGCACACTATGAACTAGGCCAATCACACTACTTTCACACCATGTTATTATCAACAGAAAGACTGTAGTAATTCCAGTTTTCCATTCTGTAAATAATGCTCCTCTCTAAAGAGGCCTGAAAAAATATTACTTGAAAAAAAGTTAATGCTCCTCTAGCTAATTATTTAGTTGTCCTTGAGCAAAGCTACATCCGAATAACTGGGTTTTTTTGCTGGGTTTGTTCTCTTGCAGCCTATGGCATAGGCCTTCTCGTGACCTTTGTTGCCTTGGCACTGATGCAGATGGGCCAGCCTGCTCTCCTCTACTTAGTGCCCTGCACTCTCCTCACCAGCTTCGCAGTGGCCCTTTGGAGAAGGGAGCTGGCCATGTTCTGGACGGGCAGCGGCTTTGCGGTGAATACCAGTTTGCTATGAGTGTCTTCAGGAAATACTAGTGTTATAAAAACCTAACTAGCATTAAAGTTGAGTAAAGTATTGCAGTATTATCGCACAAGCACAAAGATTTTTGGTTTTGCTCTGTTGTTTGCTTTTTTACGTACTTTTTTTTTTCTTGCCTCAGCGAGGTTTTTCTGGTTTTTCAGGGTGTTTGTGGCCACTTGAATCTGGCTGGGGAAAAGTAAAGCAGACCTTACCTTGTCTATCCTTCTTGATTCTGTCATGATTTTACTTGTTTGATCTCTGTTGAAAGTATCACTGGTAGTAAAAGATTACAATATTATATAAAATATAATGGGTATATAATATATATAATATATAATATATATATTATATATATAAATATATAAAATATATATTATATATTTTTATATATATATAATATATATATATTATATATATTATATACCCATTATATTTTATATAATATTGTAATCTTTTACTACCAGTGATACTTATCTATATTATATAGATATATATATTATATATTATGATACTTATCTATATTATATATATTTTTATATATATAATATATATTATATATTATATTATATAATATATATTATATATATCATATTATATATAATATATATAATATATATAAAATATATTATATAAAATATAATATACTATATAAAACATATCCTTGAAATATTTTTTTCATAGCCTACTGTTTATGAAGGTAGAAATGTAGTTCACTATAGTAAATTATCACTTTGTTTCACTGTGATACAAGTGAAAGTAACTTCACTCAGAAAGGAATAATTTCTGTCATGATGCATGATTTTAGTTTTTGAATAGTTACTTGAAGGCCAAATCTATTAAGCTAGTGGTTCACCCCAATGAGTTTTACTTTGTTATTCAACTGTTTGTGATAACCCTCACAAGTTTCCTCCAGAGAACTGAATTTAATTGTTGGAGAAATATTTGAGGTCATCTAAAACGTAATGGAAAAGTCGCCAGTTCTTTATCACTGACATTAAAGGTGGGCAGAACCAGAGTGGCCAAGGACCAAGTGCTGTTTGCCTGTTGCTGCCTAATCAGCAGAGCACATCTGAAACTGGTGAGGAACAATCAGGCAGAAAGCAAACACTTTTCTGGAAAGAAAAAAATCCCCTGGTGCCCTGTAAAACCCAAAGGATAACTGTGTGCATGTGTCCACTGCTGGAGAATGATAACAGAGATGATGGACCTTTAACCTTCATCTTGTAAGACCATCACTTCTGATAACTGGTTCTTGCTTTCCATCATTCTGACTGTGATCTTCCATTCACAGAAAGACCTACCTCAGCCTCCTGTGGTGATAGCCCCTGTCAACTGCCCTGAGCTTCCCAAAGACAGCAGCGTGCCAGCCCCTCCAGCAGACCCAGAGCAGATGACCAATCCCACCCTGCACGTGAAGGAGCTGCGTGGCCCCAGCTCAGCTGAGGAGGAGCTGGCTGACACCAGCACAAAGACAGACCAGTCAGAAATCTCTCTGGCACAGAGTGAGGAACCAACTGCTCAGAATAAGGACAACCTCGAAAGCAAATGCCTAAATGCAGAGCAAAGCCAGCTGGAATGAGTGATGTGATAAGAACTCCTCACTTTTTCCCTCACAAACATATCCATATAAAACCAGTATGTATTTAGGACTGGTTTAGTAGGGTTTGCATTCACTGAGGAACCTCGCTGGGAGTCTGATCAGCAAATCCAACAAGGAATGTTCTGCCTCCAGCTTCGGGACAGCTACACCCTTCAAACATCCTTCTGAAATATGGTGCTCTCCAGGAGTTCTGATGTGTGGGTTTCAATGATCACTCTGTTAGTGGATGCCTTTGACCCTTTGTTCCATTTGCATTATGCCAGGGTAGCATTAAGAGTCTTTATTTACCCAGTGCTCTGTGCTTGTGTGGTTGTTTTGCTGCTGTAGCATGGTGTAGGTTACCATGGAGGAAAAGCATTGAACAAGTCTGCTACAATGCTTAGCTGAGAGAAACATGGTCTTTTTTTTTTTTTTAGCACTTTCCCTATTATTGCCACCTTTTACTTTGCTTCTCCTGACTTGTCAAAGCCATTGATATAAGGGAATGCTTTAGTATAAACTTAAATTCAGGAAATGCAGAGAATGGTTAAATTACCATTGCTCTGAAAGGATTTACACTACCGTGGTGCATTAAATGCATCTCTTAACTTTTGTTTTTACTTCTAGTTACCTGGGTTGGCTACTAGTCTAGTTTAAAAGGCAGGATGAGTGGAGCTCCAGGAGGCTTTCTAGTCATTCATGTGAACTCTAAGGGCTGTCTCTGATAATAAACAAGGTTGGTCACAGAATGCTGCTTGGAAGCAAATGCATATTAAGAATGTTTTAGAAATGAAATGCAAGCCAAATAGGTAAGAAAATGGGTAGTAACACTGTACTAAGCTTAACAGGCAGTATTTTCATTGGGAAAATGTTAAAGCAGTAAAAGTTCATGTGTTTTGGGGCTTTGAGCTTCTATTTGTTGTTCATTCAAGGACTATAATTGTGATTTCTAATTCCGAAGAAAACAGTCTGGTTTTTTCATTCCCAAGGGAGCACATATGGTGCTACAGACAGTTGTGATTTAAAGCTACTTGCTGCTCAGTTAACTTACCAGCTGCCTAAGTCATGTTTTGTCTTTGTCCCAAGAGCAGGCAAAGCGTGGCCTCTCAGGTTCTGGAATGAGCCTGGGATCTTACCTGTTATTTTGCCTGTCTTGCTACATGACATTGTGAATTTAAATTGTGATTTAAATTTGCAAATTTAAAAGTTTTGGGGTGCAGCTGGTCTTACCTTGTATTCCTGAAATTGTGTGTTTGAGTCTCTAATGCACCGACTTTTATACACAGAAGGATGATGTGATTTGCATCTTACTTGTTCCATCTGAGTATATTTGTCTTTATCAGAGGTGTCTGTTCTACACTTAAGTTGCAATTCCAGAAAGCCTCAAACACTTCACATGAAAACTGAAACAGAAAATGGAAGTGTTATAGGATCCCCGAACATGATTCCAGATTGCATGGGAGAAATGCTTTTCAGAGTATTTGAGAGCCAAAAAATGTCATCTACAAAAGTATTGTCACAGTGATGCCATCAGAGGCATTGCTGTTGAAATTAAGTCTCCAGTTGGCTTGTTGAGTTGCAGTTCAAGGGCTTTTTTTTTTCGTGTCTTGTCTATTAAATATCAGCCATTGGGGGTTTTTTTGGCTGTGTCTTCCGAAAGTTTGCCCTGTGTTTTTTGGGAGATAACTTCTGTGGGCAGTGGTAGCATTCTTAGGATGTGAGTGGCTTTCTGTAAAACCACACTGTGGCTTCAGAGTTTCACCAGCTCCTGCTTAAAGCCTCGAGCCTTGTCTGACAGGATGGTCCACTGAGGTTTTTGGAAGGCTTGCTGAGTCCAAGGGCCAGCAACTACATTTAATTTACAAATTGCTCTAATGGAAGGTGGTACTAAAGAGATCTGGTTTTCAATCTCCTCTTTAATGGACTGTTCCTTTGGCCAGCAGTAATCTGATCCAGTTATTACTAATAAAAAGCAGCAGAGAAATTTTACTGAAAACTTCAGTCAGCTGGATTATGACTTAATTTTTAAGCCATTGTGTAAGTATGTATATTAAACTAAGAGAACAATCTTGTATTTAAATAATGAACCTGATAAATAACAAGAAAACACGTTGAAGACTGACTGAAGTTCTATCATTTTTGGCCTTGATTGTCTCTCAGTCATAACGTTTGGAGTGGCTTTGTACATCCTTAAAAGCCAGTAGCTTCCTGATAATGAAGCATTAAGTTTTATCATCTACTTGAACAGTGTATTTCAGCATTTGTTCTCCTGTGTGATTGGGAAATAGTTTGCTTCTCAGACTGCTCATAGCTCAGTTCAAATGGAAGAAGTGATCCCACTGAACTCGAGGGCATCTCAGAGTTGTGTTGTTCCCACTGGGTCCTGGGCAGGTCTGCAGGAGGACCTGCTTCACCTCAGCTTTTGGGGGCTTTCCATCTACTTTTAAGTGTGACCTTTTTTTTTTTCCCCCCCCCCAAAATGCAAAGAATGAAGAAGAACCCCAAACAGCTCCTCAGTGCAGTATCTCCAGTGAAAGCATGTGAAGTGGCAACAATTTACACAGTGACTATCCCAGTACTGTACAAATCAGGTGACCCTGGTGCTCCAGTTTGGCTGTGACTGTTCAGTCCTTGATCCTGGGCAGTTCAATCCTTCCATCAAAACCCAAGGCTGTACTTTTTTGTCTTTGAAAAACCTCTCTGATCAGCTTAATTTAAAAATTAATGTTGTATAGGAAAATATGAATATCAGTTCGACGTGGCTGAGTCTGATTTTATTTGCTGATTGCAGATATACATCCCCCTAGATGTATATCTGGGGGATATCTAGCTTAAATATTTAAACTAGAGTTTAAATATTTAAAGTAATGAAAGTAATATTAATGTTAAAAGTAATGTTGATGGGCTTCTTGTTTATGTCTTTCACATACTAAGTCTTTATTTATCTTTCTAGAAATTCAGTAAGGATTTTATTCCTGAGAACCTGTATGTGTTCAGGGGAAGCATTTCTTTTAGTCAAACAAACAAATCCCAACAACAACCAACGCCACTAAAAAAATCCTATAATAAAAAACCTCAACTCTTTGGATCACAATAGTGAGGATCAGGTTCCTTCCTCGTGTTTATTTTGGACTTTGCCCTTCTGAAGGGTTGTACAAATGCAGCTGAAGGTAGAATGGAACCTGAAAGCCTTTACCAAGGGTGACACATAAGGGAGAAGTATCCCAAGCCCTTTTTCAGTTTTACTGATTTTATTTTTTCTTATCACAAATTAAGACCATTTAAAATGAAATATATAAAAAAAAAAGAAACATAAAAAAATAGAGCCAAAAATACATTGTTTTTACCACTGGCAGTAAAAAAAAAAAAGCACATCCACCTATGTAAGAATTACACTTGTGAAAATATTTAATGTTTTCTCTGAACTTGAACAGGTGCCAGGCAACAGAAAATCTGCAGCACAGCCTATTTTCTGAAAGGTTTATTAACCTGTTTCGTAGAAAACTTTGTTGAGAAAAACTCTTGGTTTCCAAATTTCTTGAACGTTTTTCATGATGTCTTGGTCTCGGATAATCAGTCAGGCACTTCCCTCAGTGTGGCTTTTGTTAGGAATGTCTTGCAAGTCCTGACAGTGTTTTTCAGCCACTCACAGTCCCGTGTGTTTGGTTTTTCCATCCCCCGTGCACTGCTCCGACTGGGATCAGGATTATCAGGGACTTTAGTGCCTGGTGACTTCTGGAAGGTGGCCTTGACTGCAGAGCCAGCCAGAACCCTGTGCTGAAATCACAGCCTTGGGAGCTTGCAGGGTGTGGCTGCAGTTATTAGTGAATTAATCTGCCTCTGGGAGATGCTGTGAATTTACCTGCAGCTCTTTAAAAAAGCCTGTGTTGGGTGTTTGGGATCAGTGTTGCCTTGAAGTTAAAGCTCACATGCAGCTCTTTTAGTGCAGGTTCCTGCAGTTGTTCTTGTCTTTAGCCCAGTGGTTGGTACATGTTTCTGGTTTCTTGCACTACACAGGCTGCACAGGACATAAAGCCCTGTAATATTTCTTCTTAATGCCAGCTCCACTGACTATCAATGAACAAAACTATTTTGTGCATGGTTTCATTGTTTGGTGTGTTATTTGTTGTACATTTGGGTGAATAAGCTGGCTAAGCAGCACTGTGCATTAATGTGTGTCAATGCTTGGCACAGACACACCAACAGATCTAAACATTCATCCAAAGCCTGCAGAGATGGTGCCTTTTGCCATGACAAATACAATGTTTTAAGAGGAAATCTGTGTCAGGGCTGCATCTTCAGGCAAATGAGGACAGGAACTGTGGTTGAAGGTTCCAGAAAACATCAGCAACAAGGAACAATAGATCTTTAGGTATTTTAATTTCACATGTGGTTTCCCAGCTGGGGCAGGGCATGAAAACAGAGCTGCACTAACAGCTTTTCAGTTTAGGTTTCTGTGCCAGTGGTGCTGGGTAAGGTGGAGAGGGGGAGGATAAGAAAAAACTGAAGATGGCTCAGAAAGCACGAGGAGAGTCAGAACAAGAATGGCAGTGGAAGAGTTTACTCCAAAAAGAAGACCCAAGACCAAGTATGATAAATATCCAAAAATCTGAAATGCTGCTGCAAATTGGAAAAACAATTTAATGCTGTTATAGCATGAACTTTGTCACAGAGTGCTCAGTTTGTCTCTCACCAGTGCTGTCAGGGAGTTCTGTGAGCACCGTGACACAATTTGGATCTTGTGACACAGACTGGGTCTTCTGCTAATTAAAGGTGATAAATCCTCTGGAAGGAAACCACATCATGAAAGCACGTTAAATAGCTGCAGGGCTCTTTCTACTCCTTTTTTTTTTTACTTTTTTTTCTTTTTAATGTTTAATTTGTTGAATTGCTTCTGGCATCCTGAAACATTTCGGAACAGGACAGCTTTGTGTGCTGCCAGAAGCTTCCTATGGGCACTGGCCTAAGAGAACTGTCTCTTCACTGATCCTCTGTATCTTCTGTATTTATCAATTATGTGTTCTTCTATGAGGGTTTCACCTTTTCCAGTTTTGCAGGTAAATATTCAAATTATGTGGAGGAAAGATGACATTTTGCCATCTGTAGAGATAGGTGATAAATAATGTGTCTGAACTGGATTTTCTTGAATTGGGAACTAGTACACTGTACACAGTCATCCACTATTTCAGGAACTAGTAGAGGACTTCATGTGATGCAGTAACTCAGACTTGGTTCTGTTTTCCCAGAAGGTGCTGGTGAGTCCAGCAGACAAGAGCTACAGGTGCTCCTGCTCCTACAATAATTTGGAGCCACCTTCCTTAGCTGAAGGTGGCATTACAGTTTGTCAAGTTTCTCATAATATTTTCCTGCATGTTAGCATGCAAGTTTAGCTCCAGACAGCAAACTTCATCCAGGTGTTTGTCTCTGAGAGACAAATCTGCAGGCTAGAAGTTTTTGTTGAGAACTTCTGACACACACGTGCTGTGTGTTGTGAACTGACCTTGGGTGTTTAGTGTGAACACTGGTTGGCTGAAAATGTGCAGAGACACGGTCTCAAAGTGGACTGGTTATCACCAGCTCATGCCCCATCCCTGGAAGTTCAAGGATGAGCAACCTGGTGTTGTAAGTGGCATCCCTGTCCATGGCAGGAGGTTGGAACGAGACGACCTTTGAGGTCCCTTACAACCCAAACCATTCTGTGATTATAAGATTCTATCACATCTCCTAAAAAAATTGGTGACTCGGGCTGGTAGGGAGCCCTGCAGTAGCAGACAAGCAACACCTCATAGTCAAGTGCTGCTGAAAGGTCTCCAGCCCTGAGAACATGACACTGTGGCAGGAGCAGCAACGTGCTGTTCAGTGGGACCAGTGAGTCCAGCGGGGCTTCCCCGAGCCCAGACCCTCGGGGTTGGGTTGTACACAAGGGTCGTAGCTGATATTTCCAACACAATAACCTTCTCCTTAAGCCAGAGATTTGTAAAGGAAAGAAATAGCTCTTTTCATCTGAAACGTGCATCTGTAGTCAGGGAAGTGCCACAAACCTGCCACGTCTCCGTTGTGGATCCAAGCTGTGAACGCTGGGATGGGGGGAAGCTGGTGATGTTTGGGGAGGAGCTCAGTCCTTCACAGTCCTGGACATGCACTCCACAGCAAGGAACCAGGAGGGGATTTTATTATTCTGCTCTGAACGAAGTTGTTCCAGTTCACATTGAACAAAAACTTCAAAACAGTGGGTTCAGGGTTAGTTTGACCAAAAAAAAAAACCACAGTGGTGCAGTTCATTCTGGTTTGGGTCATAATCTGGTTTTTTTCATAGCTGCCAGTGGAGACTTCAAAAAATGTACATGACAGATGTTAGAGCAGCCCCAATGTTGGCAACAAGCCCATGTAGGAGACAGGCTGATTCTCCAATGCCCCATCAGTGGGAAGGGTCTGTGTTTGCTGGGGTGAACACGTTGCCCACTTGTCTTCAACTCTTGCTTTGCCACTTGTCCTCTCCAGCAACCTTTTGATTCTCAAACTTTCATGGAGCCAGCACAGGCTGTGGGACAGCAAGAGGAAATCTCTGTGTCTGATGCCCTCCTGGTGCTGTCTGAAAAGCTTGGAGCAGGGAATTGGCCACCGTGCCCAGCCTGGCACCTGGGTCGTGTCATGGGGCTAAACACACTAAACCTTTTTGACCTGGAAGTCACTGACAGGAAGGAAGAGCTCTGGTACTTTCAGCCTAGCAACATATGAAACAAAACTTAACTGTTTAAAGAAAAATCTGCATTTACAGCTGTGCCCATGGATGCTCTGCTCATTCCTGACCTTGTTTCCTCAGGGCTGGAGGGAGTGGGGTCTGGTAACCCCCTGGCAACCCACCCTGTGACCCCTGCTAGTGTTTGCTTTACCAAAACAGAGTCAGAGGTGCTTTTGCTGGAGGCAAAAATCAAGCAGTATAAAGAGGGTGTAAGAGATGAGAGCGAGACCCATTTGCTTAATGCTCTTGGATGCTTGACAGTAGCTGCTTTTAGTGAGGAAGTTGATTTTTGGAAGGTAACATTATCAGTAGAACAGTCTTAAATTTGTCTGGTGTCTTTGTGGAAGGACTTTGTGATGGTGTTCAAATAATAGTACGTAGGCTAGTGCTGTGAGGAGTGCAAACTAAAGGTTGTTAATTTTAGCACTTGCAAATGCATCTAACTCTGCATATGTGCACATGAGGGAGAAACTTAAAGCTCATTTCAGTTGCTGAGGGCAAGATTTTCTTGTGATCCAACCTATGGTATGTTTTTGCTATTTTAAGATCTTCTATGCAGTTTGGCCCCTTAATTAAAAAAAAAAAAAAAAGAGGAAAAAAAAAAGGAAAAAATACAAAAAAATGCACTAAAAAACAACTCCTCCCCCAGAAAAAAAGGATGGGGAAGAAAGTTGGCCAGTGGGGGAAGATTTGTGTGAAAACTTAGAGTATTTTTCCTGCAGAGGGGCTACTGTTTCCAAACAAGCAAGCTGTGGAAATGAAGTGCAGATGGGACATAAAGAATGAGGGGTTTCGTTCTCTGTAAGGGTGTGGTCAGGGATGCAGAAAAAACGAACCTCTTTCCCTGATTCCCTCGTTTTTATCTTGTATTTCCTTTCCCTTGTCAGTCAGTCAGTCCCACACACCCTGCAGGTCAGTCCATAGTTGTAACTCACTGGTTGCTGGGCTGTTGACCCCCACGGGAAGAGGGTCCCTCTCCCTTCACAGAGGCTGGGGAAGGTGCAGCACTTGCTGGGTGATGACTTGCAAAACTGTGCATGATATCTGCAAGGAGAGATAAATCAGTAATTCTGTGGTTGTCTCTATCTATGGTACAAGGAAGATGTTTTTTCTTCTGTTAATATTTGCAAGTGATAACGAAGAACTGAGTGTGTCACCTCACAGATCCCTTCCTGTGCTGGCAGTAGGAGAGAGCTGCTGCAAAGACCAAGGGGAAAAGCAATGTCCACACAGTAAAAACCATTTTTTTTGTAAACATTTCTGTTTTTCCAAAACTGTAGGTCTCTACTGTAACATGTGCATAAGATTTTTGTTTCAGTCTGGGTGGCTTTTTTCCACCCTGTGTGTGGCTCTTCATGGTTTTGATACCAGCCCTCCCTCTTAACTGAATTACAGCCTTGTATCCAATTGCACAGCATATCATGATATATATATATATATATATTTTTATATATGTAAATACATTGTAATACATAGCATTTCCAGTGACCAAATGTAGATTTGCTTCTTCCTTCTGCAACGTAACACGGGGAAAAACCCTATTTCAAAATTAATGGGGGAATGACAGAATCTTAGGACAAGAGATGAGAAATATCCCAAGGGTTTCTGCAGAGGGAATTTTGCATGGAGTAGTGAAGCCTATTTCAGGCATCTGTAGATATGAGGAAAGAAAAACTTGAAAATAACTGGTCAGCTGAAACTGTGGTGGGTTGGGTTTTTTCTCTCTGTTTTGCTTTTAAAAAACACTGGAATTTCCTTTAGTCTGTTTTAGTTTAAAACTGTAAAAATTTTCTAAAACTCTTCAAATAAAGATACTAAATTTTTGAACCGAGTTTTGCTGGTTTTGTATTTCACCCTTACATTTGAAATAGGTTGTTTTTATTGCTTGCACCAGGATGTGATAAAATGTCTTTTGGGATTTAATTTAAAGCCATGTGATCAGTTGTACTGATAAATTGGGTTTGACTGCTCTGCATGTTGTAGTGCTGTTGCTTGGGAAGGAAGGTGGTCACTAACAGTCCATATTTCTAAAAAATACTAAATATCTCCTGAATTACAAGGTGTATCCAGGAATAGTACAAACTGACAACAGGTGCAATTCCACTCTGTGTTTCCGTTCAGTGTGCCCTGCATCTCACTTTTAGATAGGCAATGCAGCTGGGAAGACAGAAATTGAGAAATTTCTTGTGTTATCTGGCTCTTTTAAAAACAAAAAAAAAAGCAGTTGCAGCAAGACAGCCTTTCTGTCTGGACTGTCACTGCTTCCATTCAGACAAGGAGGGTTCAACAAAACCAGAAAGACTGGTTCAGTGTTAAATAAAGGGTACTAAATATTAAGATACAGTCTGGCCACAAAGCTCATCCTAAGGTATTCTACACCTCAACCTGTATTAGTTAAAACAGTGCCTGGTATTCTAGATTTGAATGTACACCTCTATGCTGGAACAAAATCAGTGCAATGAACTTGTGTGACCTCTTTATATTCCTGCACCTGGTTATTCCTGTATGTGTTGCACAGACAAGGACAGAGCATTTGGGGGTTTTGGGTTTTTACTGTTGGTTTTGTGGGGTGTTTTTTGGTCTGGTTTGGTCTTTTTTGAGGAGGGGCTGTGAGTTTTTTGGGATGGTTTTGTTTGGTTTCTGTTGTTGGTTTTTGGTTTGTTTTTTTTTTTAGCCCAAATTATAGGTCTTGGCACAGAGTGATGCTCTGATGGGGAATGAAGCCATTCCAACGGGAGGAGGTCGACTCCACTTGCAGTGGAGCTGGCCCAGGGTTCTCCCCCCAGTGCCACAGGTGCACCATCCATCACTAGTGAAGATCTTAAAACATTCCTGGCATTCCAAGCCACTCCCACTGCCTTGGGCTGAAGATCTGTCCCACCTGAGCAGTTCTGTGTCTGCAGGAACAGCCTGTGGTGACTATTCACAAGCATTTTCTCTCTGTACACCTTGTTCCATTTCACAGGACCCCCCTCAGGCAGCTGTGGAAGCACAGGCTGGATCCTCCACATTCTCCATCCAGGATTATGGCTCAGGGGGTATCTCTGTGCTCCGGTGCTGCCTGAAGGTTGGCTTCAGGGCACTCTGAAATTCCCACTCGGAGATCTTCTGTGCCAACTGCTGAAATGTTTTCTTGTGAAGCTCTTGAGTTTCAAACCAGCTCATTGTCTCGTCTGTGCAGGTGATTAAGGGGGGACCACCCAGGGACTCAGTGATTTTGCTGCCCTGCTGTGCACACAGGACCAGCCCTGACCCCCAACCACACCACAACTAAAAGACACACTCGACTAAAAGACATTTGCTACAAGTTCCAGAGCTCCTGCCACATATCCCAAACGATTTTTTTCTTTTTTTTTTTTTTTTTTTTTTCAGTTTTAGCAGGGAATGGG